CATCTTCAACTTCTTAGCAAAGTTTATCTCAGTTGGTCCCAAACCAACAGTTTATTTTCTCCTTTTATCCCAAGCAAATTATCTTTGCTTTTTAACTATTTCCTTCTTGTCTATCTGTGACTGGTACCCTCCTCCCTGTACTTTACTCCACTTACAGTCAGTTGTTACCTGATCTTGCCCATCCTTCCTTTTGCATTTACCTTAGATTTCTTTTTGCAGTTTTAATTTCCACTACTATCAGTCTAGTATGAGTTCTAATTCCTTCAAACGTTAAGTTGCAACTATTTTATTTTGTCTAACCTTTCTTGCTCTGCATTTTCCCAGTTGTTTAGCCTATACACACACTTTTGATTAATCCTCCATTTTACTCTAATCACAAGTTAATGAGCTCTGGAATCTGAGATACTAGCCTTTACTCAGTTCTGTGGTTTAGGAAAAGAACTTCTGATTATGCTCAAATATTCTAAAATCTCCTCCTCCAAAGAAGCCAAAGAATTAATTAATTAGAACAAATCATTTTTGTAAAATAATCTACACAGGTGAGTATTTGGAACTGTTAATCAACAATAATAGCATAAATTAATTATTAAATTAAAGAAAGTTTTATAAGATAACCTAATGAATCTGGATGTAGGCTTGATTTCTAATCTAAGGCAATTATCTACAGGGTATATTGCCTTCTCTAGGCCACCATTCTAGCCCTCAAACTTTGCTGCTATTTACCATGACAATCAACAGACTGAACCCCCCCCCCCAAAGAATTTTGTTCCTCTAGTGAAAACTGAAGTGACATTCTATAACAGTTTTTGCTGAAATTGGTTTTCTGGAAGGAGATCACTGTCAATCTTTATTCCAAGTGTTCTAAAAGTTGAACTTTTCGCTAGCATAGATTAGTATGTAGGGGCCCACTGTGCGTCCAGGAAACTTCAGATTGAACTTTTAAATAAAAGTAAAAGCCTTAGGGCTCAACTGGGCATCCATTTGCTGCTTTAAGAATGGTGTATTTGTTTTAAATTGGTGCTCCATCACTAAAGTTCAAGAGGGACCTTTAAAAAATCAGCGTTTAAAAGATTCAATTTCCTTGCACCTTTGGTCAAGAGTTCATAGTTACTTCCTCTGTTAGAAAGAAGACCAACTTACCTTAGCAGAAGAAAAGAAATTTAAAACCAAAAGATTCCCTTTTCTTCATTTACTATTCATCAGTAACTTAACTTTTTTCTAAAACTATGCCTTCGCAAATGCAATCTCAGCATTTACAATCTCAAATATAAATAACAAATTCCAGAACTCCATTTCAAATATTCTTTACTCCTATCGATATTTCACACAGTATTTCCTCAACTTCTGTTATAATTCTCTTGTTCAGGCTGTCATAGAACACTCACTTCATTACCAACCCATGTTGCTCTTTACCATTAATACAGCACTTTCCATAATAAACTACAATAGTTGCAAGGATTTTCTTCTGACTTAGTCTGTGATCTCCTGAGACAATGGACCATGTTTTATTCACTTTGAATTTCAAAAGAGTACATATACAGCAGTACATAACACAGTAGGTGTTCCATAAGTTGATTTGCTAAATTGAACAGGAGTAATAAGTTTTGATTCAGGCCTTGATAACTACTGACCAGCACCGCGTCTCCATAAACAGAAGGCAACAATAAAATAATTATTCAGGTCCCTGCAGATAAAAATGTGTTAATCTGAGAAAAATAAGTAAAATTTTGCCGAACTGAGCTAATCCATCATTTCATTATAACGCTTAGCATTGCTATTAGAATTTTGACCTGTGGCGTCATCTTATTTTCTCCTGTGCTTTGGGTTATAACTGCATCAATCAATTTGCATTGATCATGATTCCCTGTGCCTCCTATGTTCAGGTTAAAAATTGCATCCTAATCCCTGTCAACTGTCTTGTGAAAGTGTCATTGGTTCCAATTAGGGTCAGCTGGGCAGTACACTGATGGCTCTGTGGAATCCACAAATAAACCTACACACACTTAAAAGATCACATCCCACTAATATGAGTCACTGACATCTTTATTTACCAAAGTCAACAGATTGCATAACTAAATCCAACCTCTACCAACAGATTCTCCAATTGAAGTCTGCATGATCTTCTAGACAAAAAGCAAAGTAGTTCTCTCAATATGTTTACTTTTTGGGATGAAGATAAATCCTTACTGAATTATAAGGATTATTAGAGGACAAAACAGTATTCTTTTTAAAGTTGGCCAACAGCTTTATTATTTACAGTGTACATATTGAGGAATAACCATTTTATTGAGGACATCTTTCCTTTCTGGCTCATTTGTACTTGATATAAGCAGAAAAAGCAAAGTTAGTCAAACATCTAAGCAAAAAATTAAAATATACATACTTAACTTTAAATTCAACTCTTTTTTACTCTAGACTCTCCAATTAATTTATGTTTATGTATCTAGTTTCAAATATGCGGAACCAAGGTTTTCATTGTTTCATGAAAAAGCACAATACTACAAAACACTTTACATTTTTAAATTTAAATCTTTTAGTTTATAAGCAACTATTTAGTTACAAATACCTAAAAATAAAGTACATTAGATACATAAGTATATTGAAAATTAACATTGTGTCATATATAGGGTCTTTAAAATGTTTAAAAAGAAGACTATTTTTAAGTGAGTAGCAGGTAAACAATATATTTAATAAAATATTTAAATCAGACACTTAGAATTGAAGTACATTGGACAAATAGAGAAATAGGAAATAACCTGGAATTCAGAGAAATTCTAGTGTGAGCTTCAGCAGTCATGAGTTGTATGACTGGGTAAGTCACAGGACCTTTCATCTTATTTGTTAAAATATAAATAATATTTCCACACTGACCTAATTCCTAGAATTCTTCTCAAAATACCATATAGTAACATAAATAAAAGTACTTTCGAAACTACAGAGTATGACACAATGAAAAGACATCATTGTGATTACTGTGGTCTGTGGATACTGGTGGTAATGATAATAATAGTACGATACTTGCTATTAGAAGCATTGCTAATGTTCTTCTGCTAGTGAATATGATTATCAAAATTAATTTTGTTTCAGAGTCAGCCTTTGCAAGGCTGAAAAGTCTGTGTCAACATTGAGTGAACAACTTATATTCATTTAAAATGAAAATACAGAGACATATATACAACACAATATAGTTATGCCCAAAAATACTACACCACATTCTTTAAAATTAAAAAGCCTTTCTTCAGACTTTCACCCTATTTTTATAGAACAAACTTATTATCAAATGTCAATCATATTTTATTAAATTGACTGTGAAAAGGGCAAACTTGAAACAGAGTTTTTTTTGCCTTAAGCTTCTTTGATGTGCTTGCTGCATATGCAATTTTAATATCTCCTATTTACACATTTAAAATAAGTAAGAAAGAAAAGAAAATAGGAAATAAAAGTAACAAGAGGTAACATGAGGAGGTTAGTACATCAACTCACACTGGTATGACTAAAACAAGGTGGTAAATACCAGAACCTGTAGCAAAGAGGAAAATCATCCAGGCATACAGCTATTTACACTTTACTGTTGGGTTAGGAGCTAGCTCAGACATAATCCACTAAATCCACTGTATCTGAGGTAACAGGAAAGCACCTAGAGGACACTAGCTTTCTTCTCGAAGACTACATTTTATATATAAAGATACTCTTGGGTTAGCTTTCCTCTCATGGTTTGCTACATTAGAGTTTCAGCTTTAGCTTCAAGCCATAAGCTCTTTGTGAAATCCTACTGCATCACAAGAAACAACTCTTATTTTTCTACACATAATTAATTCCAAATTATTTCCCATAAGACTGTTTTCCAACCTGACTACAAACTGACTAGAAAAAGGAGAGTGACCACTATAGTACTCTGGGTTTTGTGAAAATGGTTATTCCTCAATAAAAGACATTCATGAAACACCTGTCCTGGCTGTAATCTCCCAAATGTTTTTGTTAGCAACAGCAAGACTTCCAAATTATTTTAATTTATCTAAAAAATAGGTGCCAAAAGGATTACCAAGTTTAAATTCCACCTATTCATCTACATAGTATATGGCCCACCCAAAACTAGTGTCTAAAGAAAAACTGTTTCATGAGATGATACATACTATCACATGAAGGTATAGAAATGTCTCATACTCAAATAAGTTTGGGCAACACAGAATTAAACTGGTTGAACATGTTTTTCTTCAGCTGACATACTATATTGTGAGCTCTAAGAAACTGTTTACAAAATTTAACTATGAAACTCTTCAACAAATTCTGTAAAATCTGGAAGTGATGTGGTTAAGAAATGCTGGTCTATGATATAGCAAAACAAGTCAAACAGTTTGTTACAATTTCTAATGCAGTTATGTATCATTTATTGACCAAAATATGTTACAAGAATTGTGTCCTTAGGTGATTTTGCCATTGTGCAAACATAAAATCTACCTACACAAACACAGCTACAATATCCCGAGGCAATATAATCCTAGGGGCCACTCTCAGATATGTATGTGGCCCTATGTAGCAGATAAAAATAGCTGTCCATGTGTACTCTGTTCCATTTTTGCTAATCCAAGTGGCCAGGAGAACCTATTGTCTTGCCAGGTTCTATTTATTTAAAGAGTACACACACAGTGATGTAAGGAAAGAGAAAAACAGATTTAATCCATGCCAATGCTTTCAAGGATTCTTCTTCCTAAGTGACAGCAATCTTAGAAAATAGTTTAAGCTACCTTCTCCGTGAAATTACAAAGGTCCATCTTACATTCACCAAGGGGAACAGGGACATGATTATGGAATTACAAAGCTATGTAACCACAAAATATTGGTGCGTCCTCTTCTCTACCTATTCTAGGGAGACCGAATTCACAGTTTAAATGATGTCATGCTATAGTATGTGAAATAAATTTTACAAGTAATTATTTGATACATAATACCTATATATCCACCTACCAGCAACTCATATTTGAATTCAGTTTTCTATCTCTGTGTTTCTGACATTCATTTTCCCAGCATATAAAATGGCTGAGCAATGATACAACTATGTCTGTTTCTATAGGAACTCAAATCATGTTTCAACCCCAAAAGACTATGCCTCTAATCAGAATACTGATGATGAATTTTTGCTAATTATTTTTGGATTCTCTCTGTCTCTCTGTCTGTCTCTCTCTGTCTCTGTCTCTCTCTCTCTGTCTCTGTCTCTGTCTGTCTGTCTGTCTCTCTCTCTGTTTCTCTCTCTCTCTCTCTCTCTCTCTCTCTCTCTCTCTCTCTCTCTCTCTCTCTCTCTGGCTCTCTCTCTAGCTCTCTCCTCCACAGTGGGCAGGTCTCAGATTATATGCCTTTGCAAGAAGCTCCTCTATTCTGAGCAAAGTGGAGCCTCCCACGATACTACAGTAGCTCTGGAGTGTGCTCAGCGGCTGTGGCAGCTCAACCATGCAATTTTATAGCAGGCAGCAAACAAGGCAGAGAATTCAGGGTTAAAAACTCAAGTGAAGTTTTGTCTTCTACAGTAATGAAAGCTGACTAAAAGAGTAAATCAAATGGATCTCCTAACAAAATGAAAACAGCTGTTTGGACTGGCTTGGTCTCTGATTTAGGTTAAGTAATTATTGCTCTAGTGTGGTTCAAGGTTGTTCTGTATTAGTGAAATAAGATATCACATGAAAATCATCCAACTTTTTAATTTACTGTAGCATCAGAAATTCCACTGTATAAAAAATTCCAGAAACGTAATCTTCTAAAAACTACCTAAAAACCTTTTCAAATACCAATTGATTAAATCTTTCAAGACATAATGGCACAATACATAATTACATTATGGCAATAACTTTTAGTATCTATACTGAGAAAACAGTTTACTATTTTAACTTTAAAATAATCAACTTTTTCAAATATTCCTGGAGTGCTATATCCCAACTCCCAGATAACTGAAAAGATATTTTTGTACAGAGACCTTTTTTTAAGAAAAGCAATCAACAGTTACTTCTTGAGCTCCCAAAGCAGTAGGGATTTCAGTAGACTATTTTTTAAAAAATTAAACCATGGCATGCCAGTAACGATTAAATAGAAAAATTATAATGAAAAGACAAAGCAATTAATATTTTTAACAGATCTGTTTGTATCATATTTCTCAGAATAAAATAAATTCCTACTCAAAGTACTTTAAATTGCTTTTCTTATTTGTGGATGTTTGCTCCTCGTTCTTCTGTCATCATCAGTTGTGCCATTTTGCTCTTATTTCAGCAACTTATTTCTGCTCCAGCTTGTTTATGATAAACCAGGAAAAGTCAATGACAGGTGTTTCATGTTCTATTTTCAGTGATACTCCAGTAAGTTATTTTAGATAATAAAAAATCTAAAAATATTATGTGACACAAGACATGAAATCTCTGAAGAAACAAAGACCAAAAGTCTTGGCCCCTTATTCTGACTGTTAGTTTTTTTTGTTTGTTTGTTTTTTCTTTTTCTTTTTTATCGGTACCAAGGATCAAACTCACGACCGCACACTTGCAAGGCAGGCGCTTATGCCGCTGAACTAAATCCCCAGCCCCCTGTTAGTTTTTAAGTCAACCTTCATTACAGTCACTGATGGATGCTTAAATACATGAGTAAACAATGACATTAAAATAGGGGGTATTTTTCATTTTTTAATAAGGATTTCATTGAGACATGTTTATACATGCATGCGACATGCTTTGATCATACAACTCTCCACTTCCTTCTCTTACCGTCTGTCCTTTCCTCCCTGATAGCCTTCCCCTTTTTCCTTATACTTTCATATTGTTTTGTTTTTTACCTAGTTCCTACATTAGACAAAATGTGATACTTGTTTGAGTCTGCTTGGTTTATGTCAGTTAACAACATGATCTCCAGTTCCACCCATTTTTCCTAAAATGACATGATTTTGTTCTCTATGCCTGAATACTCTATTGTGTATATATAGCACATTTGCTTTTTCCATTCATCCATCGATAGGCCTGTCTGCTAACTCCATAAGGTTACATAAATTGTAGCATAAGACTGCAGGTTATTTCTGTAGTACGCTGACTTTAATTTCTTTCCCTTTAATTTCTTTGGGTATACACCAAGGAGTGATATCGCTGGATACTACAATAGTTCTATTTTTACATTATAAGTAACCTCCATACTGATTTTCCTAGTAAGTGGACTAATTTACAGTTCCATCATGTATAAGGCTTCCTTTTTCCCTATACTCTCACCAGCAATTATTACTTTCTGTTTTCTAGATGACAGTCATTCTGACTGGGCAAGGTAGAATCTCAGTATAGTTTCAATGTATATTTCCTTGATGGCTAAAAATATTGAATATTTTTCATATAATTATTGACTAGCTTTATTTTCTTTAAGAAATGTCTGGCAGTTTTGTTGAGTAGTTTACTTGTTCTGTAGTGTTAAGTTTGACTTCTTCATATATTCTGGATATTAATCCTCTGTCAGAAGACTGGGTTGCAAAGATTTCCTCCTATTCTCTAAGCAGTCTCTTCCCTCATGATTACTCCCTTTCCTGTGCAGAAACATTGTAACTTCTCAACTCTTGCTATTATTTCCTGAGTACTAACATGGTATTGAGGAAGTCATTGCCTGCTCCTATTCCTGAAACATTTCCCGTTTGTTATTCTAGCTGTTTAAAAATTTAGTTCTTACATTTAAGTCTTTGATCCATTTTTAGTTGATTTTTTGTATAAGATGAGAGATCTACTTTCAATCTTGTTCATGTGAATACCTAGTTTTCCTGGCACTACTTGGTAAAGAACCTGACTTTTCTCTGAGTTATGATTTTGGAAACTGTCAAGAATTAGAGGCTGTAGCTGGGTGGCTTTGTTTCTGGGCCATTTCTTCACTTCATTGGTCTATGTGTCTGTTTTTGTCAGTTCTATGCTATGCTATTCTTTTTACTGTCATAGTATATTTGGTAACTGGGTAGGCAAACAAATGCTTAAATTACAGGACATTTCTTTGATAGTCACATCTTTGAAATATTTTAATTTATTCCAGAGCATTCCAGTCAGTTCAGGGAGCTGGGGAAGAGAGACACGGACAGACAGACAGAGACGGAGAGACAGAGACAGACAGAGGAAGAGGTGCAGGGAGGGAAGGGAAAGAAACAAGAGAGGGGAAATTACATTAGAAAGTTAATATTTTGAGCAAAATTACTTAGGTGGTTTAAATCTTGGGAAAGTCTCAGCCAAGTTACAAGCCAAGTCAATTACAAGTCTCTTCTTGTAATTGTTATTGCTGAACAAAAAACATGATATATTTACCTTTCCAATGGGATAAAGTTTTGTAGCTTTCCTAAGTCTAAATAATATTTCTCCCTGTTCCTTGTCCATTACTAGTGCTTGTCAGAACATCAGAGTAACAGAAAAAAGTTAGATGTTTTATTTTCTTAAAATGTTCATGCATTATGATCTTTTTTGGAGGGCCAATATTTCTTAAATAGGAGAATATGTCATTTTAGGGATTTTCATTCATAAACTGTCCCATGGACCTAGATCAACAATGTAGCGTTTACCTTAGTATTTAAGAAGAAAGCAATGAAATAGGCTATTTAAGGAAAGGTATATTTTTTTTTCCTTTCAAACAGATAACAGATTCTAATAACCAAGATCCTTAGAAATGATAGGGCACGTGAAGCCAGTCTACATTCTTAGTATCTGCAGTGTAGGGCAACGACAAAGAAATGTTCTACCCTTTGCATCGGCAATGTTTTCCTTTTAAGACATACAAAGGCTGCGGCTGTTGTTACATAAGTTGTTGTGAGTGGGCAAATGTCATTAACTACAGCATAAAAAGAAAGCTGGGTGTATTTGGAGCCACCTAAACAGTAGATCTTTAGTTGCCACATCAAAGAGGGCAAACTGCTCTGTTATCTGTAGACATGTGCTCTCCATAGTGTCAAAGCAGAATAGATACCCTAGGCTAAAAGTAGAGCCTCCCTCCCTGAAAATATCTTCCCTACTCTGAAATGCTTCTTTTGAGTCCTCAAATTCTCCCTAGTCCTCAGGTATTCTTGATATTCTTCCATTTGGAAAATCATCTTTTCGATAACCCTTGCTATGATATCATCAGTACCATTTCAGGAACAAAGGTTTTCTGAATCCGCAGTGAAATTACCTTGTCCCATATATGCATACTTTCTGATTTTTCTGTTATTAGCTTCTTAAAATATATGTAATTTGTTGTTTTGCTTACCTTTTCTGCTGAATTCCAGGGGAAAAAAAATCTGGTTGAGACTAAGTAAGCAGCATCACTAATTAGTTTTAGTTTGAGGGCTTTTGTTGTTTTGGAGGCGGTTGTTTCTTTTATTTTTTCTTTATTTTTTGGTTTAGGAGATTATGTTTCTCACTTTTTGTTCAGCTTCAGAAAGGACACACTTGCCACTGAAAGGGAGAAAATGGACATCCATAGTGACTGCAGGGACAGAGGGCCTCTTATGGTCAACATGTACCATTGATAAGTGTTCCTTCAGCCACGGAAACCACCAGCTGATCAGGCTGAATTCAGGTCAAAGACAGGCGGTTTCCAAGTTGGCCCAGTGTTTTTAAATTTCAGCAGTTCAGCTGAAACCAGGTGTTCCAACGTGCTCAGAATCAGTCTTCCAACAGTTCAGCATGGATGTTTAGGGATGGGCAGTAACTTCCAATCTGGATTTTTAAAAATTTATTTTAAAGAGAAAAATAGAAATAAAAATAAAAGGTTTCAAAACAGGCTAACAGGAGAGTAACAGTAATTAATACACTGTATATTGTTCTCTTCAGAGTAGTTACTCAGAGTACAAGATATAGGCCTGAAATATTGTCCAAACAATAGTAGCACCAACTTTTCTTTTCAATGAATAAGAGAAACTAGCTACATAACTATCTTAAATATCTTCCACATATATATATATATATATTTTCCTTTTCCCTTCCTTCCTTCCATCTTTCCCTCATCATAGTTTCTCTTTTCTTTTGAATAGTTTCTTTCCAATTCACAATATCTACTGTACATTTTGGACCTTATTCACTCATTCAATTTCTCACACTAGTAAGACAATACAACATTTATACATGTGAATATAATTTATTTTGCTTATGAGTATGGTCTCCATTTACCTAAAATCTCAAAGTTATTTCTTTTTCTTGGTTGAGTAGTACTCTGTTATATAAACACATCTTTTTTTATCCATTCCTTGTTAGATGAGCATTTGAGTTGTTTGCAAGATTTATCTATTACAAATTGTGCTGCTATAAACATAGGTGCATGTAATATCACTATGGCATGTTGCTTTTAATTCCTCCTGAAGATATCCAGGGGAGACTAGCTGGGTTGAATGGGCCCAATCTGGATTTCAAGAATTTATTTAGTGAAAGATCTCTCTGTTAAGCAGTATAATCCATCGAAAAAAGAAATTCTCTACAAACTTTGTTTCTCCAGTCACGTACACTTACTCAGAAGAAGACTGACATCTTTAAGCCTCTTCATGGCCTTCTTCCCCCATTTCCTCAGGATCCTAAAACAGAGCCACCTTGCAACAGTGCAGAGCTTTTCAAGGCAGTAGGCCTTTTTGCACATGCTTATAAAGCAATGATATGACACTCTGTATAGTGACAAGGAGATGAGATCAGATAGACGGAATACACACAGTGTCCCGAGGAATATCTTCTCTTGAAATCTGAACAGATTATAATTAATCACACAGTCTACATCTCTATAGTCAATCATTTCAAAATACACTTTCCAAACATTTTCCCTTTGTCTCTTACACTCTTTTTTTTTTTTTTTAGTCATCCTTGGTTCAAAGTAACTAAGTAATTCCCCAGTTCAAATTACTTTATTAAATATTATTTATTTAGGTTTTCAAAATTTAGAACATTAGTACAGAATATCACACTAACATCTATAAAGCTTAGATCTTACAAAGTTCTGCAGACACTTAATCTACCCTAACTTGTATATTATGTTGCAATACAGTACTGCTGTAGTTTAAATCTGGAATATTCTCAAGGGCCCACACGTTTGAGGCTTAGAGAAGAAAGAAGTCAGACTGGGTTCATTTACTTACTAGCGATGAGGTGAGTCCTTACATTTTTCAGGGACTAGTTATTGTATACTACCTAAAATGATGGCTTTCAAAAAGATAGTTGCTAAAATCTGTCCAGATTTAAGAATCCTATGATTTGAGAGTAGGAGAAAGTATTTTACTACAAAAAGATGTCAATAGATTAAATTCATGGCTGAATTTATATGAGCAAAGAGTGCAGCTTGCGTATGATTGCCAAAAGTCACAGGCTCCTTCTCTATGCAACAGAGGTAAAACAGTCACATTTTAAAAGAGAATTTTTTTAGCCTTAAATTGTATCCAGAAGAAACAAAGATGTTTTCCTTAAAGAATTCCCAGTCCCTAACAGTAAACACTTCACCTTTCTTCACTTTCACACTTTCACTGCAGTAACAAATTGAGTCTTAAGGGTTTATTCATTCTTATTCAGCAGTTCCATTCTGTAACTGTAAGCCATCCCTAGTGTCTTGCCCACATAACTACCTACATTGTATATTATAAAAATATGAAGTTCTACAGAAAATATCACAAACACCATTTTTATGCAAAAAGATATTTCAGCAAAGCATTCTGAGTTTCTGAAATAAGTGCTTGAGCCATAATTTAAAATAAATCATCATTATTTTTAAATATTTCAGAAAAAAGAGGAATCGATAAAGCAAAATTGGCAAGATTTTAACTATAACTATAATATAGCTAAAATTTTACTTAATTATAATTGGCAGTGACTATCTGTGTTTATTGTACTATTTTATCCAGTGAATGTTTGAAAATTTTCATATAAAATGTTTATTTTTAAAATTAATCCTTATGTTAGTTTTGGGGACAGCTTTAATAGTTTCCCGGTCCCAGTGTATACCAGTGATATGGACCATTCTAATTCTCTAACATTAAATAAGTAAAGGAAATGAGAATGCAACCAAAGTTTTCCATTATTAAACAAAATTGCCATCTCAACCCTTTTAAGTATACTGGCAAGCAGTGTTAGATATAGTCACATTGTTCCACAATGGATCCTCGGAAATTTCATCTTGCGAAACAGATACTCTATATCCAATAAACAACTCCCCATTCTCCCCACTCTCAGACCCTGACAATCGCCATCTTACTTTCTGTTCTTATGAATTTTATGATTTTAGAAACCCCATATAAGTGGAGCCATATAGTATTTGTCTTTTCATAACTGGTTTATTTTGCTTTGCCTAATGTCCACAAGAGTCACCTATGCAAATCCAGCTGAAAGAATTTTCTTCCTTTTAAAGGCTAAATAACATTCCATTGTATGTATATAACACATATTTAAAAATCTATTCAAAGACTATTGGTAAACATAAATATATTGTAGTTTCCTTAATCTAGTGACATAGTTGTAAGAGATGTTGGAAGCTGGACTGAGAAAAATGTATGATGGATGAGTAAAGGTCAGGAGGATGCCAAACTTTTCAAATTATACTTTAGATGAATTAAAATGTAATTAAAATTACATTTAAATCCCAAATGTGTAAAAGGAACTACTTGATGTTACAGGTATTTCCTGATTTATCTTGGTGACAGATTTGATAAACCATTCAATTTTTAAGAAGCTGAACACTTGGGTTCCACTTACCAACAAAGCAAAATTCCCCAAATGGTATTATGACATCCTAGGGAATAATCATTTTACTGTCTATTACAGAGAATGACCCTGCTGCGGAATATGCAGTTCTTTAGACGATAGCATTCTGTCTGTCTACTTCAACATGTACTTCAACATGGAGTGAAAGCTCATTCCAAAGCATTTGAGTTTCTTGGGCACTGAGAAGCCACTGCCATCTTATCTGGATCTAATTTTGCATTTTGTATTTGCCTCTTGTTCACTTGCGCCGTTCCCACTCCCACTCCAGGGGGCCACTGATCCCCTGGGCTCATTAAATTTCTGCCTTGGATTATGGAGAGTGATTAATGATGGTGGGCCTGGTACATGTTGAGGTCAGCGTGCTGAGCATCCTGTATGTCATCGACAAATACACCCATGTGCATCCACTGGCTCACTTTTCTCCTCTGCAACCATAATTTATTCATCCCAGAGTACACTCAACCATCTGCTGTTTATTTTGTTTTCTTTAAGCATTATTCCCCTTGATTTGCTAAGCCAGGGCACAGGTGAAAAGTGGTAAGAGGCAAAGGGAAGTTGCTGTTGTTGGACACAGGAGGGGTGAGTCGGGCTCCCCGTGAGGAAGAGCATTCAGCTCCACAGAAAGGGCCTAACTGTATTGTTGAATACTTAAATCCCTGCCTAATAGGAACATTTGGGCCAGGCCCAATCATAACTAGCTAAGGCTAGACCCCTGGGGTACAGAGTGTAAAGCTGGGGAATTTTAAGCATCCTTAATAGTAGCCCTGTAATAAACTGATGCTCTGAATCTTTGCTAGAGTCTGGACAAGGCCAGGTTATAAATTTTACGTTTGGCTAAGTGACTCATAAAGAAACACCCACCTGATTTCAGACATGCAATTTTGGCAGTCAGGGCACTTGCTAAATTAGCTATGGTTCTATTTTTAGCTGCTTTTTTTTTTTTCTGCCTAAAATACAATGATTCTATCTGTACAGTGCAGTTTTACAAGTATGATCCCCACTACTGCTTCTCAGGTTGTCTTAGACTACGAGGCACAGAGTTTGCTCTTTTTCCAGTTCCCAAATGTTGGCATAAATTTTATTCTTGTTTAATGGGTTTTTTTCTCTGTAAGGTTTTGGTTGTGTGAATCATTTTTCAAAGTTACCAAAATAGTTTGTCGAAATGCATTTGAGCTTATTTGTACTCTAACAATCCCTGTTATTACAGAGTAATAAAATGTAGAACCACTTTTTCTGCTGTAAAGAGTTGGAGAATCTCTTGTCTGGGGAGGTCCAATGTTGATCTGAGGAACGTGGGTCAAGCTGGTATTTGACCTTTGGCAGGAGGCTGCCCCGGGTCTCATGTTCTCAACAAACTGGGCCCAAGACAATAGTCTGCTTTATAGCCCACAGCCTGATCAGTGTGTTTCTCCAAGGAAGACCTCAAGCTGAAAAGCCAACATGCCTGACAACCACCGTCAAGGTACCAAGGGCATAAGCACTAGACATTGGAAAACAAATGGAAAAGCACACGCAACTACATCTGGAATCCTAATGGGCCGCCAATGGTTCCCAGCTAAAGGAAGAATTACCCGTGTTATTTTATCATCCCTTGCGCTAACTTTGCTGTTTATGTACAGCAATAAATGATTTTTTAAAAACATATTTGGGTCATTATGTCATATACCACCAGCAAGTAAGGTTGTTTTATTGTGCTTGGAGTCAAAATACACTGCCATCCCAGATGTACGGGAAGTTTAAAATCTCTTGTCCTTCTGTATTCATTCCTCTTGGACAAATGAGTTAAGTTTTTAAAAGGGAAATGGAGAATTTTTATGGCTTCTGCTCCCACCTCGCCAGTAAAATTTGCACCAGTATTTTTCTACCCAGCAAAGGTGCTTGGCCAATGATAACACTAAATACTGATGCAGACAGCCAAACAGCTTCCAACCAACAGGAAATGCCAGAGATTTTTTTTTTCTTTTGGAACACATTTAGCAAGTCAGATTCTTCTGCCAAGTCTGTGCTACAATCAAAAATTAACTGCAGATCAAGAATATGAAGTGAAATCCAGAGGTTCAAGTCAATTTGTCCCTTATAGTAACATATGCGATGCTGCTTCCCCTCCTGCTTGCTGTGAGAAGCTCTAAAATTCACCTGCTCTGTTAATCCTTTTATTGCCCATACGCCAACTTCACCAATAATATAGAATATTTTCCGAGTTTTAAAAATTCCCAAATGTCTAATACTTCATAATGTATTCCTTTTCATCTTTGCATTCCTTTTAATCCAAAATCTGGTTGGTTCGTTTTTCCCTACCCATTACTCACATTTTACAGAAGTTTAAAGCTCCATTTACCCAGATTTGCTAAATGTTCTTCCATTCCACTACACGTAAGGTGAACTGTTTTCACACGAATAAAGGCCAGGCTTTTTACATCAAGGGAGAGGGAAGGCTGAGAAAAGCAGATGTTCAGATGTGGATCATGACTGACCTACCTACCCAGAGAATCGGTCCTTGTGTGAATGTTTGGTTTCTGAGGCAGAGGATGCTGGCTTTCCTGTTTATTTAGCTTGCCCTGTCACTGGCTTTACAGGTGGCCTGGAAAGAAGATTTAGGAAATGTTTTCTCTCTCCATAAATGAACATCAAATTATTTTACAATGTGACTTGGTACATGCATCATGACAGGTTGGAAGTCAAAGACAGTCTCAAAGCAGAGCAGTGGTCTTGGTACAGAGCTGGTGTGGGAGGGAAGCTAAAGAACTGTTTTGAAGTGCTTTGTAGTAACTGTTTTGAAGTTATATTTAAATTTCCACATTTTTTATTTATTTGTTTGTTTGCAGGACATACTGTTTACTTTGTGTGTGTGCAATTGGTGCATATATACATCATATTTTGATTCCTTTTTTCCTCCCTTAGCTCTCCCTTTCCTTCCAACCCCTTGCATCTCTTGGTCCTCTTCAATTTGAGAAAGATCTATCTTCCTACTTGCTATTATCTACCTTTTATTTTGCTCTTTATTTATATTTGGAGTTCCTAATGGAAGAGAAATCATGCAATATTTAAGCTTGTTCATGCATTTTTCTAAGAGATGAGTCATTTTGTGCTCATTAGCCTATTACACATTTTCTTCCAAGCCCCCTATCTTGCAAGAATCTCTAAATTTTGTTTATTCTTACACGGAAGCAGACTTTAATTTTCTTTCAGAAATCCTCTTTAGTCTTCAATACTGACTCCCTGGAAGCATCATCATTCTTAACTTTTGCTACTAATGATCAGTTATTCAAAAAGTAGTTAGCTTGATTCTGAGTTTCACCAGAATCCTTTTCTTATACAAGAAAAGCTTAAACTAACTGGAGTTGCTTCCATAAGGAATATGTCATGGGACAATTTATAAGCCAAGGCTAGTGTTTGTCTCGCCATCTCCTTTTCCAGTTTTCATGGTAGTTATACTTATCCTTTATCTTTTGTCTTATTACTTAACAAATTATTTTCACCAAACTTCCGCAGTGATGTTGGTGATTTCTCTCTCTCATTTTTTTCTTGCTTATGTTCTGACATTTTTTTCTCTCTGAAACATTTCTAGTTACATTTCATCAGTATCTGGGTCTTGACATATTTTACATGTCAGGAGCACTTCAGACTCTCTTGCTTATACCTCAACACTACTCCAGCCCAGAACTCTTCACAGATCATCGGTGTCAAATCATGTCCCTCCCCCTTCAAAATGCTGCCAGGAATCATCTCCCAAACCAAGCCCATATGGTTCTGCTCAACCGAAAAACTTCAACAATTCTGTTTGCACATTGCCAGGAGAAATCACTTAGGAAAATGTGTCTATATTCTGCAGACATTTCTTTTTTTTTTTTTTCAATGATTTTTCTCCTTCTGTTCATTTGTTCTTTCATTTGTATAATCATTTTGTCCTTATTTAAACTTACTATAAGAGTGAAATTATGTTATTCTCAAACACCTTTCATTAATGTTTCAGAATTTCTTAGTGCTGTGCCCATATATTATATAAAGAAAGAGAAAGAATTATGGTTGCTTGATTGAAGCCTGGAATCACTTTCTAACTGCCCTGCTCTTTGATCTGATATAGCCAAGGGCATATTAAATGGCCAGTCACTGCCCTTCTTTCTCACGTAAGCATCTCAATCACATCCACAGACTCCAGGTTTCTGAGGTGATGTAGGGTCTACTCACCTTCCACTTGTCTGACAAAAATGAAGAATAAGACTAAAATGATTCTGTCATTTTTGCCTCTAGTCTTTCTATCAGTATTTGTGAGTCTTTTCTCATCCCAAGCCTAAGTATTTTGTGCCTTCTTAATTTCTAACTGTCCCCAACAGAAATAGTAAATTGTGATTTTACTCCTACTTCCACTCAAATTGTCTCAAATACATTCACAGTTTTAAGAGTTTTCTATTTTATCTCTCATTTCCTGTTGTGGAATAAAAGCCTCTATCTCTTGAGAAAGGAATTTAGAAGTTAGATGAATGCTGGGGAGTGGTGTTTAGCCTTCTTCTAAGCACTAAAATCAAACTGTGTTTAATTCTGGGTTTATAGACCACAGAGAAAACTTGCTTTAGTTGTTTGGGGTGAGTTGCTTAGTAAGTAACCAGTAGAATACCTTCCTTTCCATTTTCCTTAACACAAAGATTCCTGTGGCTCAAGATTCATAGTACCAGGAGCCCTGTATCCCCAGTCCTAGCCTATATCTGCTAGTATCACTGTTACTCATAGAACTCATCACCTCCATCCCAACTATTGGTAAAGGAATGCTCTTCCCTGGACCCTCTTTTCCTCTTTTAGAATATAATTCATAATGACATGAGCCAACATTTTACTTATTCCCAGTACCCCCAAACAACTGAATCTCACATCAGTGTAGCAGCAGGGAATACAGCTTAAACAAGAATCAAACAAGGAACAAAGATGATATGGTAAGTGGTGGGAACCATCAGCCCAAACACACAATGGAGTGCTGTTGTCAAAAACATATGGCTAGTAGCAGATAGGGTCCTACATCTTTGCCTGAGTCAGTGACACTGTATCCCAAGCTTAAAGGCATTCATCAGTGCAGTCATTCCTTTGTCTGATGTTATTTTTAACTGAGTTACTGGCTTTCAATAAACTGCATATGTTTAAAATTTCCAACATTTGTATACACTTAAGGAACCATCAACACAATACAACATACTTATGAACATATGTATCATTCCCATTTGCCTTTCCTCTCCTTTTCTTAGACAACTACTGATCTGGTCTCTTGTTATTGTAAGTTAATTTTTATTTTCTGGAATTTTACATAAGTGTAATTATATCATGCATACTTTTCTGCTTGGTTACTTCTCTTAACTTAATTACTCTGAGATTTTTTCATGTTGCCCTAAGTACTAATTGTATTTTCACTTTCATTACCAAGTAGTGTTCTGTTGTATGGATGGGACTACTACAAGGCCTTCATGAGCTTATCCCATATGAAAAGTCTTCTGACAGAGACTAGAACATATAATTTTATATGAAATGTTAGTACGCAAGATTCTTCTCTGGTGTCTAATACAGAGACAGATGAATAATTGCTGTTTATGAAAAAGTCATCCATGCTGTAAAAGGAAGGAATCATAGTACACTGGGAATGTCATTAAAAAGCATACTGAGACTCAGTATTCCCTCTTGAAGGAATTAATCCTGGAGGTGGCTTTTGGTGGATAACGAGAAATTCTAGGGGGGCAGGTCAAAGAACTACAAGTAGTTCTTAATAACTAGTGTGACACGGGGTAGATGAAGCTAGTGAGAGGGACATTTAATCCTGGCCTAGCAGCTTAAATTCTATCTTGAGACTTATTGAAGGTTATCTAAATAGCAATGGAATTGTATCCTTAAATTTATGCAAGACCAAGGAAGAGAGTATCAAAGTAGCCTAGATGAGAAGGGGTAGAGGTTTAGGTTTAGATGTCAAATGTGGAGACTGGAAAGTGAACAGATGAGAAAGAAAGTGATTGAAGCAGAGGAAACAGAACTCCAGTAATTCAGTGGTTGATTAAATGCATGGGTGAGACACAGGAAAAAATCAAGAAGATTCCTGTATGTAAAGCTTTAGCAAGTAAAGTAAACAGAAACTCAGTGAACAGAAAACAGATTAAAAGCCAAAATAGCCAAGTATGGTGCAGCATACAATAATCCCAGCATGTAGGAGGCTGAGGCAGAATGGTCTTGAATTCAAGGCTAGCCTGGGCTATATATTAAGTTCAAGGTCAGCCTGGACTACATAGGGAGGCCCTGTCTCTAAAATGAAGGTGCAAACAGTGTTGTGGAAGATGATAAATTAATTCAAACATTTTGAGTTCAAAGTTGTGTAGATGTTGAGAGAGAGAGAGGTCCACAAGTAAGAGGGACATAAATTATAGATTTAAACTATGTAGGTGTTTGCAGATGGAGATAGAATTTTCCTCATATTTGTATGTTTGCAGGAGAAAGAGGATAGAGAAATGCTTAAAATGTAGGTTAGAAATACTGTCTGTATGGGAGGAAAATTAGCTTATGTACCTTCTATATATTTTTTTAATTAGTTTGAAAATTCTTGAAGGGAAGTGAAGAATAATTCCTTAAACTCTCAGTAACTCAGTATCTCCAACACAGACGACTCCAAACCAATTCAGTATTTTCATATTTGCAAATTGAGAATATAGTTAATTTGAGCCTAAAATTAGCCTATGAAAGAAATTCATATAGATTATTAAGATGCTAAAATAACTGGCTTGGAAGTAGGCATGATTTATCAACAGCACATAAATGTGATCTATTTCTGTTGAAATAGGAGCAATCATTGCTAATTATAAAATTTTCCAGTGTGTAACTAAACATGTAAAAGGGAAAAGCTCTTCCAGCTTGAAATCTAGTAATGTGACTTTAGCAGAACCCATGAGAGTCCATTCCAGAAGTGAACTAAACATATAGCTACCCAAATACTGAGAGAGAAAACTACACATCATTTTTATCACTTTTACATATCATATAGGATACAGCAGGTAACAAATTGCATACATTTTTGTTTAGACAATTAGGAACCCCAATTCTCTTAACAGAAAAACTAGGGAAACTTTTCTGATCCAAACTCAATCTAAAGACTGTAAATATTATTCCATCTTTAACTCGATTAACAAGGTAAATGTCTGTAAATGAGGAAAACATCAGTGAATAAATTCTCATTTGTTTCTCACTTTATCAAATAAAGAAGCTAAGATTTAAGCAATTTCTGCTACATACATGCTTCTCACGTAACTTCTTTCCTTTGTGATATTTCCCTCATAATACAGTAAGAAGTAACCTTCAGCTGCCATAGAAAAACAGGCATGAGCATCTGATATTCTTAGCTTGTTGGTATGTTTTTAAAGCTGGCAATCAGACAGTACAGAAAGTGAAATTTTTGGCCTCCACTGCCACATGGCTACATGGAAGCTGAGTTTAGGACACAGAAAACTGTCTATTCTGACTTCCAAAAATGGCAAATATGTTAAGGGGAAAAAATTTGTACTATTGTTCCCAAAATATCCTTCAATTTGTTCTAAGCGCATAACCTAAAATGAAATAAAAAGCAAACTTAATTTGTCATCTCCAAAAGATGTCTAAAAATTTGCAAAGATATTTCTTAGTCTATCATTTTATGAAGTTTTTCTTTTTAATAGTAAACAATATAATCTGGGGTCCTGGCACATTTTCTGCCTCTCTTTGGATACACTGTTCAGGCATCGCTTGATTTGATAAATTTTAATATGGAAAATCTTTCTACAAAAGATAAATTAGGAGGATATTAATTTTACTAGAAAGGATTCTTCACTTTAAAAAACTCATTAATACACTAATGTCTTCAGTGAGCTTTTAAAAACTCACATGATAAAATTTCAGTTCACATAGACTTTAGGGGAAAATATCCATCTGATAAATGAAGGCATGTGTGAATTTAAAAAAATAGGTCCGCACTACTCAGGTTATCTTTTTTCTTCTACAGAGTCAATTTTCCCTTAACATACCACAACTAACATCATTGTACCACCCAGTTAGATCTTTTTCCTGCTGTTCTGAATAAATAAAACTCCTTCTGAGTCATCTCCATTTGTTTAACGCGAGGAAATACAGAATTGGTCCATCTAGGACTCACAGTAGCAGTCCCTCTTTCAAACACTGTTCTACTCATTATGTTAGGAAACTGCTGAGCGAGACACCAATGGCCCGGGGTGGAACTCTGAGGTTATCTCAACTCCTCCCCATCTTTAGCTGAAAATATAATTTAAATTCTGTGGTTTTCAGCTTCATAATATTGTTTGAATGTATCCACTTCTGGCCCTCTCCAGTTCTTACTTGGTTCACACTGACAGTACTCCCCACCCACAAATGCCTAACTCCTCACTGACTCCCTTCTCTACTCTTTCTCCCACATCACAGGTTGTAGTCTTCTAAAACTGTAAATCTAAGCAAGCCATTCCTGCTTAAATTCCCCAGGATGAGGCTTAACTCAAGAACATTCAGGATATTACCTCTTTCCACTGCTCCACACACTCCAGTCTGAGTGCCAACCATACAAAGCTACCTATAGCCTCTATGGGTTTTGGGGTGGGCCATTTGTTTCCCCAATACAGAGCTGTAACTTTCTTAAACTCTTCCACGTTACCTTTGCTTACCTTCCTCTGATGCCTCATTTCAGATTATTACTTCCAGGGGGAGCTTCCCCCAACTGGTCTCCACCCCTTACTGATAAAAGGCTGCATAGCTCCTGTGTGTTCTGGAAGTTCCGTGAACCACTCAGACCACAGCACTTATTACCCCTACTAACATCATGTAGTCACTTTCCCACCTCCTCATCTAGACTATAAATACCCTGAAAACAAGAGACTGTGCCTTTCTCTCCATTATAGTCTCAGCACTAAAAATAGTCTGACAATACGAAACACTCAATTAGAGGAATCAATAAAAGTGTATAAAAAACATAAGCCAAAGGTTACAGCCAATTCTCCTACTTTGTTATTTAATGAAATCTTTAAATTCTTAATTTATTGGTCTTTTTTTTGGTGGCTTTATTATCTTAGTATACTAATGATACTCTTACTTAGTACCTAAGTACTTAGATACCTTAGTATCTAAGTATACTTAGTATATTATACTAGTATAAAAAATGGAAACAATCTATAATGTTTATATGTGCAAACATAAGCATGTTTATTCTTCTGAAAAGTAACACACTGTTACCTCAAACTAAATGTATAAAATTACTCATCTGCTGCTAAAAATCTCAGTGAAAGGATATTTCAATGTACAATATAAAGAAAAGATTATAGTCCTGATCGATTAAATATAGGGAGATTTTAGAAATAATGTCAATTTGATTATACCTTTGGAAATTCTGCTTCAATCTTTATAGGAACCCTGTCTTTCTGCAAAGAGACTAATCATTCCTTTTACTTTATAAAATTGAATTTTGATGTACATTACTGGGTGCTCCTCAGTAACAACATCATGAAGCACTGGAAACTGGACTTCAGGCCTGTGAAAAAAGAAAAGAAAATTCTGAAACTACATAATGATGAATGTGCTCCTAATCTGCCTTCACTTAAAAAATGATCTCCAACTTTTGAGTTTTTAATTTTGTGGCAAAATCTCAAAAGCTAAAGATTAAAATATTTAATTGGCATTCATTTCCTCCTGGGTGAAAAGAGAAAAATTACTCTAGATCAGTATCTCCCAAGCATTATTCCCAACTGATAAACCTTTCTGTTTTTTAAAATAAATATTATAGAGCTGACCATTTTTATTTAAACATATATTTTTAAAATTCCTGTTGAGGGGAAATAAAAAAAAGAAAAAATGAGGCAGACTTTTTCCACAGTCTCTTTGCCCCACAGCGTGCTGTTGCTAAAGTGCCAAGAAATGCGTAGCATATGGTTTTAAAAACCACTTTTCTGTGAAGTCCCCAGAGACACCTTTCAAATTTAAAGTTACGTGATCCTAAAATTTGCCAGAATTTCTGAGTATATAGTTATCTAGAGAAGAGAGATTAGTCAACTCTCCCTGCCGGAGATTTCTGGAGAGTGTAAAAAGCGTATATTGTAACATAGGAGTGTTTTCAAATGATTGTAGTTATAAAAGAAACAGTTTGGGCATTGTTGTCATAGAATTAGTAGATCTTAAAAAGTTGTTATAATTATTTTTTTTTTCAAATACACTACTTTTGATTGTCTAAAGGAGTTTATGACAGGAGGAGGAGTTGAATAAAAGGAAAAACTACTGGGAGAAAAATCTTCCACTAATATTTAAGGATTACAAAGTGAAAAAAGTAGGTTTCATGGAGAACCACTGTATCATGACAGGAACTCAGTTTCAAGAAGGCCTGAGACATTCAGAGACTGAAAGTAATGAGTTGAATTCCCCAAAGTCTCAAGCAGTTTCCACCCCAGGGTAATAAAAACAAGAACTCATGTTTGTTTGTTTTGGAGTCTCCATTTGGACCTGGAAGGTCAGGCTCTGAACAGCCAGGCCATTGTTCATCATCATTCATCCAGATCATGCTCCAGCACCTGACTAGGAATTAGAAATCCTGGGTTCTTTATCTAATTGTATGATTAGCTCACTCGGGTTTCCGAAAAGTCATAATTTTTCTACTCTAGAGTATCTAAGAAGTGATCTTTTCTTTCTGGATGTCAGCGTAATTATGGGGGTTACGTTGCCACCCTATACCTGCAAAATGTTAAGGATACCCATGCTGTTACTTTATTGCCAATGTTTTTTGCTTTTATACGTAAGAATAACAGTTATCACCTTACTGAGGGATTATTCTCTGCCAGAATCTGTTCTAAATGTGTGACACAAATTAAGTCGTTTAATCCTTTATAATTATCCCGTTAGTTAAGTATATTATGATCCTCATGTTACACATGAAGTAACAAAATCACAAAGTGGAGCGACTTTCCCCAAGTCACACAGCTATTAAGTGTGAAGAAGTCTGGCTGAGGAGTACTGGCCCTTCAAAATACTTTAATGCTACCTCTCCATAATGCTTTCAAATTTTTGTAGAGCTAGTGCTAGGAGAAAAAAATGGAAATGCTACAACATGCATACTCTTTTAATTGCCTGTTTAGTCAGATCCACCAAGTTTGTTTTGATACAGTCACGGCCTCATACATTGGCCTCACACTTCCCCTATACTGAAAGAAGAAGGTGGTTGCTCAGTGGGATTCGGGTCATTGGATGGTGAAAAATTAAACAACTTCAAAATGAAGCCATTCATTTTGAACAAAATTGAATTATCTCTCAACACATGTATTTAGAACAAAAAGATTTTTTAATCTTTTAAGTATTTTTAATAATACTGTTGTTTAAATTCTCACCCTTCTGTCACAAACTTGACAGTGACTATCAAAGTACCAACAAAACAACAGCTTGTGAAGCAAAACCTGTGGCAGCCCATTCTCTGATCAAGTTTTCACAGTGCAGATGCTGGTTTCTGAAAGTCTACACTACATTCATGATTGTGCTCTGCGCTTACTGTTTTTTCTCCCCCAACTAATTAGAAGCTCTATCATCAGATTGCATGGGATAGGGAATTTTTAGGTCCCAGCAGACACAAGGCAACAATTGAAAGCATAGTGTTGAACACAGCTGCAAATGTTGAAGAGTTTGTACGTCACATAACGTCCTGGTTCCTACTCTCCAAAGATCCTCTGGATCTGTCTTAAGTAGAAGTCAAACACAACAATAATAGTTTGGTAGTTTGTTTTGAGACACAGCAGTTCAAAAGCCTCTAGCAACTACCGAGCTGCACTAATTACAAAAAAATCTCTCACACAGGAAATATGAAATAATTTAAATACTGTCTTTCTTCCAAAACTTCAAAACTTTTTAAAGTCACAATAATCCAAGGGATTTGTTGAATATTAAGGCTAAGGAAACACACACTTTGGGGTTAATTAACTCCAAACCAATAAAAAATCAGTTCACATGAGATTTAGAAGAGTATATTGTAGAATAGAGGGTACATGGCCTGGTGTCAAGTCCAGACCCTTACAATAGGCAAATAAAACACTTTATTTGGGGCAATGAAGATATGTTCACTAAGACTGGGGTAAGTGATACAAATCAACTGCTATGAAAGCAGAGCAAAGTTGGAAGTTTGGGAACAGTAAGAAAAGCATGACCTAAAGTGGTAATACAGCAAACAGCAGACCATGGTCCACTGCTGGAACGTCGCTAAGAGGCAAATGCAAGAGGTTCTAATTCTGAGCAAACCCAGATGGCAGTGCAAAATAAATGCTGAGTAATTATTTATCACACAGCACAATCATACCAGAAACACAAAAAATATGCAACATAACAAGAACTATTAAATCAGTCCCAGCAGAGTTTTGAAATGTGGCAATAAAGATGTTCACATTGATGAAAAAAATTTAAAAAAAGCAATGTTGGTGCTTTTGATTTGGATTTGCTTTTAGAAAACAAAAGCATATTATCAATATCCATAAAGTGATGACAAAAAACAAAACTTTCTTGAATTTAATGCAAAGTTGACAAGATTTTGGATGTACTGTCTATTCCATGTGAAGTTCTAAATTATCTTTAGCAAGCTTATCAGAAAAAAAAGAGTAAAATACGTTAATAACACAAAATTGTGGGTGTTGGATTCATATCACTCCTTAGAGGAATCTGGACACATAATTCTCTGGATTTGGTCATATTTTTAGAGGAAAAAAAAAGCAAATTTTAAAATCAAAGTGGAATTTACTATAATTATTCAAAGATTGAACTCTATACAGAAAATTATTCTTTAATAGTTTTTTCCCATACCCATCCACAAATTTCTTCCATTGTTTACAGTGCTTGTGTATCTGTTTAGGCTCTTTTGAAAAAATGACCACTATTTCCATTTATCCTCCAACATAATATCTGAAAGGAAGCCAAAGAAAACCTTCGGAAAAATGCGGTCTCCGGAGAATTTAGGAGAACAGAAACACATTTAGATTTTGCAAGATTAAGGTAGACCATAAGTACATATTTCTCCCAGTGGCTGTGTCATTTTTCATAACCTAACCACCACTTTCTAATAACATATAGGTAGGAAATTACTGTCATCATAACCTGAGCTACATATCTCAATCAAATACTACCTAAAAAAAAAAGCTATGGCCTTGGAGGAAGGGAAGAGGTTGTATTGAATTCTTACATCTTACTGGTTTTACATTACAAACTGTACCTCTGTACCACCAATATTTCTCATGGAACTAAAAAATGCAGCTTTCCAGGCTATTAATACTTGCTTAATACGTAGAATGCTCTGGATTCAATTTCCAGCATCACACACAAAAAAATGCTATTTGCCTAAAACCATTGAGATAGCATAAGCGTATGACACCCAGCAACTGAGAGGCACCAGTGTTATAAATCTTTACAGAAAGATCTGAAACTTTTGTTTAGTGTTAGTTAAAGGAAAAGCATCATGACTCCTTGTCTGAATTGTCTTGAGTCCCAGATTCTTCATCTATGAAATATGGGTAGGCATGTCCTTCTCAGTTTTTGAGAGGATTAAGTTTGGTTAGCACTTCTGCAGACCTAATTCTTGGAAACTTTGGATTTAGCCTTCCGGACTAATAACTGGAGCAGCCACACTTCTAGCATTACCAAGTCAGGCTCAACTGTCCTACTGTAGCTACAAACTAGTTACTCTCTACCCTGATTCACCTATGAGGAGTTTTTTTTTTATTTTTGTTTTTACTAATCTATTAAACAAACTCCTTTCACCTAAAACTTTTTAAATCAGAAAATATAGGATTATTAAAAAAATTTAAATTTTTTATCTCCACAAAAGATTATGAAGATGCTAGGATAAAGAGCTATTAACATAACCTTAAAATGTTCCTGAAATTCTAATGCTTCAATGTACATAGACTGAATAAATTAAGTCAGTAAGTTTTACAAAAAAAAAATCATGAATGTAAAATGTTTGAGAGCCAGCACAGATCAAGAACAACACACCAAAGAATTATTAAAATAATAATTAAAATACTTTAGACTAGTGTATATAATGGAAACATAATAAAAGCCACACATGAGTCTTATATGTAATTTTTAACTTTCAGGTAGCCACGCTAAAAAACAGATAAATATAATTTTTATAGCATATGTTATTTAATCCAATATATCAAAAATATAATCATGTCAACAAGTAATCTATAAAAATTATCAAAAAGACATTTTACATTTGATTTGAATTTGAGTCAGTACAAATCCAGTACTCAATAGTTCCACACAGCCTATGGTTACTATACTAGACAGCACAATTACAGACTATAATACATATACGTCTAGTTATAAACACAGTACAGGATAGCGTTCCTTTCATAAAACTGGAAAACATTACACTAATGTAATTTTTCATATTTCTAAGATAACATCATTGATTGGTTACATATGAAGTTAAATAACAATGACTGCTTCTGGGACTACTGGGCAGGGTTATTTTGCCTGCAATGTGAAGTTTGGTCAGAACAATTTATATTCTGTGCAATTATTTCTATGCAATTTGTATTAGTGCAAAAATATGTGTACTTTAAATGAAATTTTTCAAAAAATAATGTCCATAGATAGTAGGAAAGGTGTGGGCAAGGTATGAGCCTATGTGTGTGTCTAAAAGCATTCATTGCTTAAAAACTGGGATAATTTCTGAGAAATGTGTCACTAAAGGAGTCTGTCATTACAGTAGCGTATAGAGTATACATAGCCATATTAATATATCTACATCACTGAACAGTAAATCTTATGAGAATGCTCTTGTGGATGTGTCCATCATTGACCAAACATTGTTATAGTATGCATCACTATTTATACCACAGTGAGGATTTATGTATTCTACATATCTTTCATGTGCAGTCATGAATACATTAACGAACTTCAAGGTCAACTCATGCAATTGGTCAGCACACAAACAGCTAAGCTGTCTTTGTACTATACAAAACCCCTCCTTCCAAGAGGGAATTTGGAGGCTGAAAGGTTCTTGCTCTGCTTGCCAAGAATGCAGGGTGCCTTGCAATCATCTATATCGTCAGCTCAAAGTGACCTTTTCTCTAGTACAGCAAAACGTACCACATATTCTAATAGCTATCTGGGTCTTGAAGAACAGGAAGCTTTATAAGAATTCATTCACTTAGGTAAAAAATGGATGATTTATCTGGTCCATTCTCCACAGCTTCCAACGCAAAATCATTAATTCTCAGCAATGTAACACTTTAGAGTGGCAACCAAGTACTTCCCACATCCAAGGTACTTTCTGTGAAAAGCTTAGCTTGCAGACTCTAATAGTGAAAAGCCTGAAAGTTTAACTCTCTGATAAATCAGTGTTAGATTTCCTAACTTCCTCCCCACCAAAAAACTCAAGCTTGCCATCTATGTATCTGATTTTCTAAATATATTGATCTTATTTCAGGCAATATCACAGAATAGCCTTCATCTTTCTCTAAAATAACTATTTCCATAAGCCCTGTTTGTCAGTCTTCACTATTTTTTCAATGGCTTCCACACTACCTTAAATTACTTTCTTTATATTTGTTTATTTCTTTAAAATTGGGAACCTCTTCTAGTATATACACCATGAGGAAAAGCACTTTGTCTATTATCCGCTGTTTTATTCCTACTCCATAAATCTACACACCTCATATACACATTTAAAAATGGCGATCTGAAGAAGTACTTTAGAGTCCTTAATCTCAAAATACCTGCTATCGAATACTACCCGAGGGAAGTGGGGAAGCAAAAATACTGTATCTGATGCATGGCTAGTTTGGGGAATTGCCAAAGAAATATGACTGATGAATGCACCTGCTTTGGTGAAGAACAGGAAAGAATTCATTCCCTAGCTCCAAGACAATGGGAAAAATGGCCTATCATTTACAAAGGGCTTTTCCTTTAAGAATTGGTTAAAAACCTAGACTGAACTCCTTGGCTATGAATTTCTGTCAGAATGCATAAGAAGCAGATGGCATAGCTGGATAATAGCAATTTAATAAAAATGTTATTTATGAATAGTAAGTAATGCTTAAGGCAACCAGCAAGGATGGTCCCCGATTTAAGGAGGTTCAACTTGATGATCTATTTACAAAGACTATACATATTCAGTAGAAAACCATACCTCAAATATTGATTTTGATTGATTCGCAGCCTAAAAGACAGACTATGAATCTTCTGTCACAATGCTGGACATCGGCAGCAAAATACAACTTCTAGTCAGCACAAGATCACAGAGGGCAACAACTGAGACTTTATAGTTTATTCATTTACCATTTTTTGAATACAGGTATGCAATAAATTACATGAGTTTAAGCACTGTGTTTGATCTGGGGGGGTCTAACTAAAGGCTTAACTAAGTGTTCTGAACATTTAAATTAGGCTAGGTTAAATTATGAGGCTTGGTAGAAACGTATATGAAATGCACTTTCAACATATATGGTTTTATCAGGATATAACTCCACTGCAAATTGAAGAGCATCTCTACTTCAGTACCCTGAAATGAGCAGCACAGCTATCGTTCCTCAACCTGAGAGGGTAAGGATAGTTGTATAGAAAAAGCTGAATGATGGGAGTTGTTTATTCCATGAGTACAATCAAAACACTATGACCAGACTGAGAGGGAGACAGTGGTCAGGTTCTCCAACCTCATACTCTTCCCTGTTGCCTGATCTCTCAAAAAGGCTTCCTTGAATTCAACTAAAGGTCAGAGAGCAAGACAGTCCACTCAGCAGTCATGAGGTCAGCCCTCAAGGGTGCAGAGAAGCTGGAAGGAGTCGAGTGGACCTAAAAGATTCCAGCACACTCTGGGAAATGCAGCATAAAAGGAAGTTCGCTTTATATCACTTTGTGTTTGACTCTTAGGTTAAAACCATTATTTGAATTAAACACAAAATCGTTGCTGCCACATTCAAAAGGCAATTTATATGCTTAAAATAGTCCCCATAATACAATGAAAGCTAATTCTTATGGCACTAAAGTACAGTTCTGAAAGCATTTAGATAAAGAACTAAAAGAAATGGGATCACTCTAAGGATGCAAGAGTTTTTCCTTTTTTGTACATTATATTAACTTGATAAAGATACAGAGTTAGAGAACATTCACAAATTGACAGTATGAAATAACTCTCTTCCTGTGAGTTGTGGGTGTCAGGTATTATGGGCCAGCAATGGAGCAAATGACGAAGACAAACAGATAGTCCGCCACACATGTGCTCCCTATTGCCATCTGGCACTACCATCAAGAGCCCACAGCAATGATTTACCTAGTCTTAGACTGAAGACTCCAAACCGTGAGTCAAAATAAACCTTTGCTCCTTATTTTAAAAAAATTACTGATAGGGTAAACTTTAGGCCAGTGATTCCAAATTGACTGTGCATTAAAGCCACCTGAAGAATATTTTAAAACTAAGTTCCTGGACCCACCCAACTCTATACCACTGACTCTGACACTTCAAGAGAAGGAAAAAGAAATTTATGAAGCAATTTTGGAATTAACGTTTTAAAATTTTCCTTTCAAATGTGAAATGTATTTCTTTTAAAAGAGTTCTATTTCTGTATGTTTATTTTGTTCTATTTGAAATGAAGTTATACACATGAGGCTATTTGTTCTTCAAATTTGTTGAACCATTATAAAATGTGTAAATATACACATAAAAAACTTCTGAAAGCACAATCCTCTTGAGATTTTTTTCAATATATCACTTTATTAATTACATAGGAAAAACTGCATGTCAATACATGTGTCTCTTTACTTGAGATAGAAAAATTCCTTTTGCATATCAGAAAAATAAATCTGAGTGACATATAATAGGAATAAAATTAAATTATTACTAAGTTTTTCAATAGCAGTACATTATGTCCTATGAAAATGGAATAACATATTTAGATTACTCAAGGAAAGAAAATGAAAACTAAGGATTTTGTGTAATTTCTGACTTTTGGTATGAAAGCCACCAATGTACCGTAAATGTAAATTACGTACATGTAAAAATGCATAAGCTATGTTTCTGTGAGTTTATCCAGAGAAATCTATTAGAGAACAAGTTTCAAGAAATCAAAACGACTAAAGGGATATCAGTTGGTGATGAGCATTAAATGTAGTTATAGAAACAAGATCAAATGAAGATTTAAAAAGAAGATCAAAGAGGAAAGAATAAATGTATGTTCTGGCTAAGGTAAAGTGACTATAACTACCTTTTACACAAAAATAATTTTATGATGCATTTTCATAATCATTTTGATTTTCACCTCCAATTTGGCAACTCAAAATAATATTCTCTGGCCGGGGATATAGCTCAGCAGCATAACATGTGTCTGGCAGGCGTGAGGTTCTAAGTTCGATTCCCAGCACCCCCCCAAAAATACTATTAAGTTATCAGGACATTTGGATAAATGAAAGATAATGTCTGAATCATTTTGTCATATCATATAAAAGGAAGCTATCAAATGCTACCAGAGTCTTATCAAACTATTCAGAAGTCAACTAGAGATTCCAACTAGCAAAATATAACTTGAGCATCAGTAAAAAAAATAAAATAAGTAGAAACAGGAAATAGATCTCTTGCAAAAGGTAGGGGACCAAGAGAAAAAAGCTGGAAGGAGGGGGTAGGAAGAGAAAGAGAAAGGGATGCAAAAGAATTAAAATGATTATGTGCATACGCCAACTCCCCACAATGAATGCAAACATTATGAACTGCACCACATAATAAAAATAAAAAATAGTTGCAATGGAGGCAAGAAAATCAGTGTACTGAAAACAATGAATTTATAATACTTTTTTAAAAAGTCATCTTAGAACAAGTGTGATAAAGATAGCCACAAATTCTTTGCTATGGCTCCCACTGAAAAGTGAAAACTATTTCATTCTTGATATGGGCTAACTTGACATTATTTGAGCAAAAGAACACA